ACCAAGAAACCAAAAATTAGCATTAAATAGAGTGCTATATGTACCTAAAATCACCAAAAACTTTCTGAGTATATCTCAACTCACCTCTTTTAACAATATTGAAGTGATTTTTAACTCATCTTGTTATTTTATGATGGACAAAGCTACCGGGAAGGTGCTGTTGTTGAGAAAGCTTAAAGATGGTCTGTACTGTTTGGGCTCCTTAAAACCAATTGGCTTTCCTCATCGTCCCTGTCAAGCCTTGATCACCAGCCAAAATAATCTTAGACAGTTTCTGAACCCCTGAATAAAAAAAACTAACAGGCCTGGTACAGGAGACTTGGACACCCATCATCAAAAAGTTTATCTACTGTTTTGAAATCATGTAATGAATCTTTTAATTTCAATGAAAATCTCTTTTGTGATGCATGTTAACTGGGCAAGTCTCACTCTTTTCTTTACTCTATGTCTTTTTCGCATGTAAAACTCCCTTCGAAATTGTCCACACCGACATTCGGGGACCTTTCCTTCTCCATGCACCTTTGGGCCATAAGTATTATGTAACCTTCATTTACGACTACAATTGTTTTGCCTGGCTCTATCCACATAAATAAAAATTAGACATTCATCAGGTCTTCACCCTGTTCAAACAACAAACAGAAATCCAATTTTGAAGAAAAATAAAATGTCTCAAGTCAGATATGGAAGGAAAGTTCACTGGTTCAGCTCAAACTCTCAAAATAGTGGAATAGAAATTAGATACTTTTGCCCCTACTCCTTGGCTGAAAATGGACGAACATAAAGGAAACACTAACATATAGCCGAAACAAGCCTCACACTTCTTGTTGAGTTGAGAGTTCCACTAAAATCTTGGCTTGATGCTTTTGAAACAGTTGTGTTCCTCATAAACAAAATGCCTATACCCATCTTAAATCAAGCTTCACCGCTTGAAAAACTATATCACAAAAAACCCAACTACAAATAGCTAAAAATTTTCGGTTGTGCCTGTTTTCCTTGCCTGAGACCATACCAAAATCATAAGCTCTCTTCTCACTCATCAAAGTGTGTCTTTCTTGGTTATAGCTCACTGCACAAAGGATACAAATTCCTTAGTTGCACTGCCAAAATCTATGTGTCAAGAAATATTATTTTTAATTAATCTAAATTTCATTTTCACCATGGTTTCACAAACACACATCATCCTAAAGTGCCCTCTAGAATCACACTACCATTATAATTCAACGTATCATTTTACCTCCCATCAGCCTCACTTTCCTCTAAGAGCACAAACAGCCGGGACATCTCAGTAGCCACAACACTTGCATCCTCTCCTACAGCAGAGACTTCACCGTAACACTGCTTAAGACACTCTCCAACTAACAACACAAATGACAACAACATATCACAATATGAACCAGAATCCCCTCTGAAACAAAGCATGGTCCCATAAGAAAACTAAAAGAAGAAAGACTACCAACAGAGGACACCTTAAAGCTCAAGTCGGGATTTTTAGACCAAGAAACATGTCACAAGACTTCCAATTATTTAGAGCAACAAAAGAAAATGATCTCTCAATACCCACTTTGATCATAGAAGCAATCAACGACCCTCTCTGGAATTCAGCAATGAAAGAAGAAATGACCGCCCTCAGCAACAACAAGACCTAAAAATTGGTCCCTTATTGTTCTGAAATGAACCTTGCTGGAATCAAATGGGTCTATAAAATCAAGACAAATGCAGATGGAAGCTTTCAACGGTGTAAAGCTAGATTGGTCGCAAAAGGGTTTCATCAAACACCTCGTATTGATTTTCATCACACCTTCAGCCCAGTGATTAAGGCATCAACTCTTCGAGTTATCTTAATTATAGTAGTCACAAATGAATGGCACATCAGACAATTAAATATGAACAATGCTTTTCCAAATAGAGAATTGAAAGAGATGGTGTTTATGAAGCAACCCGAAGGATTTGAAGACTCTGCACATCCCAATTATGTTTGTCAACTCAACAAAGTGCTCTATGGACTCAAGTAATCCCCAAGAGCTTGGTTTGACAAACTCAAATCCACTTGACTCAAATGGGGCTTCAAAAACTCACAAGCAGACACATCTCTTTTTTCTTTATTACTGAAGCCATTAAAATCTTCATACTGATCTATATTGACGATATAATCATAACAGGAAATAAGCTTGAGAAGATGCAGAGCTTTATCAGTCAGCTTCACGACCTGTTCGCACTGAAGGACCTCAGTGACATTCATCTCTTCCTCGGCATTGAAGCAACATGTGATGACACTGGACTCTTCCTCACCCAAACAAAATACACAGAGGAACTCCTCAAGCAAAATAATATGCCCTCTTCAAGACCATGTCCTACACCAGCAGTGGTTAAGAGCAATTTAACAGCAGAAGAGGGAGAGAAGCTAACTGATCCAACTCCCTACTAAAAATAATTGGTTTTCTTCAATACTTGACTCACACAAGGCCGAATATATCATTCATCATCAATAAACTCAATCACTTTATACAAAGACCAATTGACCTTCATATGAAAGCCCTAAAGAGAGTACTTAGATATCTGAAAGGAATTACTGATATCGGACTTCATATTAAACCAAGTGACAGATTAAGCATCGTTGCGTACTCAGATGCAGACTGGGCTTGCTCAAAGGATGATCGTCGCTCAAGCTCTGTCTATTGTGTTTATCTTAGAGAAATTTTAGCTTCTTCGAGCTCAAAGAAGCAAAATGTTGTCTCAAGATCAAGTGTCAAATCTAAGTATAGGGCTCTAGCTCATCTATCTTATGAAATTGCCTGGTTGGAGTCCTTGTTCAAAGAAATAAACATTGTTATCCCACAAGCCTCGATAGCATGGTGTGACAACATGAGCACCACAGCCCTTGCTAGCAATCCTGTCTTCCATTCACGAACTAAATATATCAAAGTAGATGTTCATTTCATTCGTGACAAAGTAACAAAAGGAGTTCTCAACATCATATATGTGTCTTCGTGTGATCAGACCACCGACTACTTCACCAAGGCTCTATCACAGACACAAGTTAAATACTTTAAAGAGAAACTCGGAGTGGTTCAGTGACCGCTTCCCTTGACAAGTTTGAAGAGGAATGTGAAGAACACTGAACCGTTTGGCGCTCGCCTTCATCGGCGAGCTCAAGAAGACAAGTGTACAAACCCGTCCAAGTTAGCAAATGATCCCAGTCAACAATCCAACTCAGTCTTTTGCTTCCAGACAAAGCACGTATGGCCGACAACTAAAATGCAATCGTCCCTTCCTGCAAGCTACTGATGTCCTTCTTTATATTCTGCATTTTTCATTTTGATTTCATGCATAGTGTTCTTGATATGTTCTTTGTTTTCTTATGTTGTATGGTTTTGAATTCTTGTAAAGAGCAGTCAAGCTCTATAAGTTTTGTAATTCGCCTGTTAATGATTATCAATAAAAAGTATAAGTTGTGAAGTGTCTAGCTTCTTTCACCTAAAATCAAGCTAACCTGTTTCTTAACTTTATTAACCTAAGCTCCTTAGTGGCTAAAACACTCAAAGCTAAGTATTTTTCTCAATGGAACATTTTAACTGCAAGGTTGGGAGTCAACCTCAGTTTCACATGGAGGAGCATACCTGTTGCTAAAAATCTGGTGAGAAGTAGTACGAGGTGGATAATTGGCACAAGGAAGCGGATGAGGGTCCAGAGTGACCCCTAGCTGCCGAGAGAAAGTGACGCTTTTGTTCGAAGCCCATGCATAAAGAGTCTTGAGAATATAGAAGTGTGCGAACTCATGAATAAGGATCTATAGAGTTGGAATAAGGACATGATAAGAGGTTTGTTTGTGGAAGAGGAAGTCGTTCTTATACTCGATATTCTCTTAAGCCAGCAGCTAAGAGAGGATAAGTGTATTTAGATGCATACGTATAATGGCAGGTAGTCAATGAAATCAGCGTATCAGTACTTGCGGGGCTCTAATAAACGTACTGCAACGAAAGGATTCAATCTGTGAAATTATGTGTGGAGGGCTGATATCCCGCTTAAGATGAAAAATTTTATGTGGCAATTGCTGAACAATAATCTCCCAGTTAAATCACGCCTGCACGAGAAAGGAATTGTAATAGCTACGACCGACACTAGATGTGACGGGGAGGAAACAATCAAACATGTGTTTTTTGAATACAATAAAGCAATTGGGTGCTGGGATCTACTGGGCAGCTAAGGGGAAGAGGCTGACTTCACTGATATATTTAAGTGGGGCGAACAGTTTGCCAGATCATGAACGAAGCACGAAGTTGCAGAGGCATTTTGTTACTTGTGGAGATTATGGCTTGAAAGAAATGATCTCTCATGGACAGTGAAGGTTTTTGCGGATCAAACATCCATATACCTGTTAAAGAAGTTTCTGAATGAATGGCAGCAAGCCAAGTTTGTCAGAGGCAGGGGGACTGTGTAACAAAGTAGAAGTACAGCGAACTTACATGAGTGGCAAGTTCCTGAAATGGGTTTTCGGAAATGCAACGTTGATGGTACAGTTCCAAGGACAGGTTCTGAAGCGAGTTATAGCGAAAATATAAGAGACTCAATTGACAATGTATTAGTTGCATTCTCAGGGCGTTTGAAGGGGTGTCACGTAGCGGATGTTGCAGAACTGCAAGGGTGCTTGAGGGCATTGGAGTATATACATGCAGATGTCCAGGGATCGGGAACAGTGGAGATTGACACCCAGAAGGTACACAACGTGTTGACAGCCAGGGAGGAAGACGATTCGGAATGTTGCTTCATCATAGCAGACTGCAGGGCCTTGTTGAGGTTGAGAACTGATGTTTCACTGAAATGGGTTAGGAGACAGTGTGATACAGTGGTTCATGAGATAGACAGAGCTGCTCGTTTATATCCAAGTTCACACTACTTTTCTAATTAATGCAGGAGGTTCTTTTTATATATAAAAAAAAAACTTTAAAAATATGCAAATTTATTTAACAATTGTTGGTGCATTTGGATAAATTCAATCTAAACTATGCCATGTAAATTTTAGCTACGAAATTAATTACCAAGGTTCTTAGGGAAATCTTGTCCTGAAGAGGATCAATGTCAACGAATGCTCCATAGGTGGTCTTGTCGGGCCCTTCTCTTGAAGACGACCTGAAATTTTAAACCAAAAAATTCAAAATTTTCTTAGAGAAACATGTAAACAAATTTTAAATACAACAAAAATAATACATTTCAAAGTTTTATCTTTTTTTATAAGATAAGATGAGTCCATTCACTTGACTCATATCTTCCCTTGCTAAAACCCATTTCACAAAATTAAACTAAAAGAAAATCCCTTTTTTTTTATTTCTTCAATTCTTATACATTTATACCCAAACTTCCGTATAACAGATGAAATTAAAAATTTATATGACTATAAAAGTAATACAAAATTGTTTTAAATGATTTATAAATAAAAAAACTGTTTCGTCTATATCTGAATATCATATACATAATATTATAAATTATTTTATACATAAATATATGAAATATAATAATAATTCATTTAAAAAAGGAGCAGCATAAGTAAATTACATAACCTGCTTTGATCACTGCACATAAGGACCACGAACTTATTATCATCCTTTCTGTAGATTCTAAAGAAGACGGCAGTTTGCTCCGTCAAGTCCTTGGAAGCCAAAACCAAAAGACCAAACGGTCCAACTTTGCCTTTCACAGACGCCGTCATTTTACCACAAATCGTCCGAGCATCATTACCCCAACCTGGGTCCATCAACTCTGCTCCTTCTAGTTCCGGCAATTCGAAGTATACTTCTACGTCGGCCTTCAACGGAGGAAATTAACCCAAAAAGAAAATTATTTCATTCATAAAATATAGTTAATAATTAAGGTTTATATTTTTAAAAATTAATTTATGAATAACATACCCAATTTTTAATTAATTTAAGGTAAATAAAAAAGATATTAGATATAGTAAATTACTTACCTGGGAAGCTGTAATGCCGGAAATTTTAACGGCAGACCCGGCTTTAAGGTCTTTATCATGCAAGCTCACGTTCTTACTACGCAGCGTTTCGATTTCTTCCACTGGCCATTGGACCAACTGTCGTCCACTTTCACTCAGCAAAATTGTCCGAGGAATTGACTAAAAAAAAAAAGTACTTAAAAAATTAATCATTTATTAAATTATGTTTCATTTAAATATTTATTTAAAAATTTCAACTTTCTCTAAAAATATTTTTAGAATTTATAAAATATCATGCTCTTATAATTAAAATAAATATGAATTTTTATAAAAATAATTTGTTTTTAAGGGAACACCTGAAGTCCAGCCCATCCTCTCTTGACACTATCAACTTCAGTGTCAGTTTCAGCAATCCATGCCCAGAGAATCCTCCTCTTCTTGGCACTATCAAAAAACGTCTTCGAAGCATAAAACTTTCCATAATCATGTCTGAAATCCAACCCGCCATCTTCGAATTCTGAATCGACAGTCAACCTATCCGATTCAACATCGTATTTTCCCAACACGTACGAGTCAACGGGATACGTGCTGACTTTCAGCACATACTTACTGAATTCGTCTACCGAAGAAGACTCATCAAGATCGAGCCCACTTTCAGTACTAACCGGGTAGAAATCCGGGCACTCCCACATGCCGGATCCGGGTAAAGAATGGAGCGGAGTCTCCCGCCGGGTCCAGCTAACAAAATCATCACTGTGATACAGATATGCCCGTCCTTCGCCGCCGACAATTACCCTCCATGTTCCGTCCGGACCTCTCCATGCTGTTGTGGGATCTCTGAATTTGTCGGGTTTAATTCCATCAACCGGGCTCATTAACGGGTTGTGGGGGGATTTGACCCAGTTAACAAGAAACGGGTCGGATGAATTCTTGGGGATTGCTAAATTCTGGAGTTCTCGGTCTTGGCTGTCTCTTCCGGTATAGAGAATTACAGGATTTTCGTTGGAGAGGAAGGTGCTTGACCCGCTCCAGCACCCGTTGATGTCAAACGGGTGGGTCGGATACAAGGCGTGATCCAGATGGATCCAGTTGACGAGATCGTAGGAGACGGAATGCCCCCATGTAATGTTGCCCCACACTGCTGCATACGGGTTGTATTGATAGAAGAGATGGTAAACGCCCTTGTAGTACATTGGTGCTGTTGGAAATCAATTAATCAGAGCTATATGCATATATATACACACACATATACATACAGTAATATATATATATATATATAGATACATGTAAGTTTTACCATTTGGGTCTTGATAATCATCCATTTCCCCAGCAACCCAAGTCAAATATACGAAGGGAAAAAAAATCAGACACGAGTTATGAAGAAATTAACTTAAATATTCAAAAAAACATTAAACTTTTTTACCTTCCGAGTTTAGTCGGACTGGTTATTTACGTCCTGATATTAATTGAACGAGAGAAAGAAAGCATACCATTCATCCAATTTTTAGGAGGTTGAAAATGGAAGGCAGTTCTGTAAACTTGATTATGAAGATGATCAGAAGAAAACTTGAAAACCTGAGTGGTAATAAAAATTAAAAACAACCCAAGAAAACCTAAACCCATTGCAGAGATCTTCATTGGCGGTCTCAGTTTCGGGTCAAACAAACACTACCCACACCAACAACTGTATAAATTCCTACATATGCTAAATAATAAAAACTATATACAATCTCTTTGTCATATCATATGAATTTAGTCTGACATTCAAAATTGGATTTATACATAATTTTTGGAAAAAAATTAATTTAAAAGTACTGTCTGTATATAAATTTATTGTTAGAGAAAAATGATAATAATATGGGAAAGCCAACTTGTCTATTAAAAATTTGTTTCAAGTGTAGGTTTTTGTTTTCTGACTCAGTGGTCAGGGTCGTTTTATATTGAAACCAAACCCCACTGTGGATGGAGAAAGAAAGAAAGAAAGGTATTTGCTGATTAGTACAAGAAACAAAATGTTTTTAAATGTCAGCACAATTATTATTTTTTGTAGTCATCAAGAACCATTACATACGAATCTCTGGGGTAAAAGTATATATTTCTCTAAACCCGTCTCCCAATGATAATTTCGTTTTCGTTTTTTTATCTTTCCAATGTGAAAAAAGAAATCATTTTACTTGCATCATATATATATATATATGTATAATACATATATATACATATATATATATATATGCTTGTGTGCAAGACTGCTGTGACAAGATCATTATTTATATGTACGCCCTCCAAAAAATTATTATTTAGAACGTACCTTTCTATTTCTTTATTTATATATATATATATATTTGATTAGAAAAGAAGATTATTCAATACAATTTTTGAAATTTTTATTAAGATTGAATTTTATTTAAATTTCAATTGAATATAAATAGAAATTCAATACAAATATAATAAAAAAATTAAAAAAAAAAATTAACTACAATTCCAAATCAATGCCATATCAATTTAAGCTGCGTTTTGTAATTTATTTCTTAATTATAAGTGATGATACAAATTCGTTCTTATTTAGAATTGAAGACATTTGATAAAATTGACTCCATAAAGATTAAGTCTATGAATTATGACTCAATTTTTTACAACAGTTTAACCCCAAGAGGCTGAACTTTTAAACTCGGTAACTTTTTGTGAGATTTTACCATTTGAATTACCATGTGGTAAATAAACTACAAGCACGTTACTAACATCTACACTCCAGTGTATTCATTTCATGACAATTTCAATCTCATCACAGAAGGTCCAGAAAATTACACAAAGCATAAATTCAACTTCAAGCACAATCAATATCATCTAGAAAGCAGAATTTCTTGCATCCATGACAACAATATTTCATTGAAAACCATTAGCTCCAGTTCTTCATGACATATTACAGAGGCAAATTAGATATCCTATACATCCATTCTTATAGTGAATAATGTGCATATCAATCAGCCAATTCACTCAATCAGGATCTTTCGATAGTATATAACGAGTTCCTGATAAAGGAAGTTTGACTTCAAGTGTCTCGTACGAAATAACAAAACCCTGCACTAAAGAAAAAATAGGCATTCCCATTCGCAATGATTGCACTACAACCAACAACCTCTCATCTCCTAAACAACCAAACCCAACACCAGTTGGAAAGAAACAAATATAAGCCCCACTACTGTTTTTTAAGGATAATAGAAAAAGGAAAGGGCATTGCGTCCACAAATACATCAGCACTTATTTAATCAGTTTAAATGTTACTACCAGACAACGGACCTCCCCTTTTAGCAAGAGTTTCAGGATTCATCAACCTTTGAGCAGAACTTACAAATCATGGCCATATTTTTTGAAAAACAGAAGTCATGCAGAGCTTATGAGAACAAATAATGGCTTGTCTCCTAATCGCTCCCGACCCTGAAAGTCAAAGCCAAAAAAAAAAGCACACAAGAAATGACATTAATTTTACAAATAGGAAGCAAGAGAAATGTTTGTGCTTGCTTCACAGAAGGAAGAACCAGGAACATGTCAACGCATGACAGTATGAGGTCCCATAAACTGAGCAATTGAGCGGGGAACTATTGATCTTAGTTTTTTATTTATCTATGTAAATTAAACTTATTTTGAAACGCCAGTTACCAGAGGAGCAATTTCACATGTTTTAGAACATCAAATTCAATAAGATAGAACAAATAACTCTTTAACAGCATGGCCTTCCAAGGAATCAAAACTTAAAACCAGTTACTAATATGCAAATTTACTTCCCTCTTGTATTTACTTGGACAACTTTACTGTTATTTGACACTTCCGGCGCAAAATGAGGACAAAGCCTAAAAGAGATCCCTCCATATCTTACTACAACTATACAACCCATCTGATAACTTTGTCATCATATTTTATTGCAATAAATCGAAAGCGACGAGTATCATTTATAGATGCATAAACTCTTCGGAGAGTATTATGTTTTTCATCATCATTTTGTGGGCAAAGTGCAAGTCCTTCATGTTCATAGAGAAGTTTCATGCATATATCATGCATGAAGCAGAGGAATAGAATTGCACATGTCCTCACCCTCTTCTCTTCTCTTCTTTTTGTACGACTACATATCCACACATTTCACTATCAAGATCTACATGCAATCATCTACTATTACATTTAAAATTATGCTTCTAACCATAAATCTAACAAATGCACATTGCAAAATATTTTTAATTACTAATTCGTTCAATCTTTTTTTTGAAATAAAAAATGTAAGGTATGATATTTACAAGGTATTAAGGAGGTACCACCCATTTATAAAAGATTTACAATTGTGTTTAACACATCAGTGACTTTTCCAGAATTCTCGACCTTATAAATGTCATGTCCCAAAATAAATAATTTAAAAGAATGAAATTATTTATCCCTTATCTTTGACATCTCACCCTTAATAGCCTCAAAACGCTACTATTCCTTTCTTTCCGTAAAACTCAGAAAATAGTAAGTGGAATACTAATTAGCTCAACCTAGAGTAATTGGTTTTTGATGAGCTGTGGTTTGGAAATGGGTCAACCATGAAAAAGCCAAAACACCGAAATGAAAATCAATTTCACAACTTGGTAAAAGTGAAGCTGTGTCACAAACCAGACTGAAAACTGAAGTACGAAATTAGAGGCAAACCTTTAGCTCTGCCAATTCCATAAGACAAGCGCACTCAACAACATCCACACCAACTCGCTCTGTACAAATAATTAATGTGGTGAGAACAGATGTAATCTAAAGGCAAGAACAGGAACAACGAGCAATTCTAAAGACAAAACAGCAAAGTAAGTTTCACCCGAGAACTCTACTTGAAGGGTGGGATTTAGATTGTAACTAAGCACAGTCAATCCTAAATATGCAGGGGAAAAGACAAATAAGAAATGGATACGCATGTCATATAAGACAAGATTTTATGAATTACCAAGGAGTTTGATTGCAGCACACAAGGTACCACCAGTAGCAATGAGGTCATCAATCACTAGAGCGCGCTCTCCTGGTTCAACAGCACCGACATGCATCTCTATTTTGTCTGTTCCATACTCCAAGGAGTACTCTTCGGAAATAACCTTCCCTGATAAGAAAATCAATTATTTAGATATAATAATTTTTGTTAAGTCATATTCACTCCCTTTCTGCAGTTTCTTAACGTTCACAATCAGACTGAACTTTAAATGGTGGGATTTGAGTGGGGTCTCCATCCCTTTAGCAGAATGTCATTTTTGTAGATTTTTTTCATTCTTGATCCATGAACCTAATTTTTGTCCTTCAAGACTACATGATATATACATCTTGTTGCATAAAAATACATCATTCAGCAAGAGACATAGATACAGTCTTATCTCAAAAATAGAAAATTTCAGAAAAGTTAAAAACAAAAAGAGAGACAAAACCAGATATTATGTTCTTCCAGTTCTCTCTATATCATGTAAGAACTCAAAAACCAGCAACCTATGCAGTTCATCAGGAGCCCAAGAAAAAAAAAAGGTAGAGATGCTGATATACCAGGCAACTTGTTGGGCTTCCTCATTGGCACAAATTTTGCCCCAATAGCCAATGCAATAGGAGGACCAAATATAAAGCCTCTGGCTTCAATACCTGCATTTTGCCATAAACATCAGATTAAATGCCAAATATCTGATATCCCGATCTCCCAGCTCCTTAATTTCTTTGACTTCGGACTAGAAATGAGAAACTCAAAATTGCAGAAGATGCACAGATAACCTCTCCAAGAAATAATACAAAATTCATAATTTTGCTCATAACATTCTCTTTCTCTCACAAGCAGCAAAACCATTAATTTACTCCACAAACAAGTAAAGCTCCTCCAAGGATAAAATTTAACTTTTTTTACCCCATGATCTTGCAAGAGATTAAATTACCTGAGAATAAAAAATTGATAGAACGGTTGTTCTATCAAATTATATCAGCACATAAAAATCTAATATCCCAATAACTTCCTATTAGGTCAATTTTAAACATTGTTTCGTCCGAGGCCAGACAGACACGAAATAATATCAGAATCCAACAATGAAACTTAAAAGAGTTTAACATAACAGGACATGGGAAATATAAGAGAACTACCTGCAACAACAGAGATATCCTTCCCTTTATACCTCTCGACAAACAAATCAATGGTATCCCTAAAAGCTTTTACATCGAGAAGCAACGTCGTTATATCTTGGAACAGGATCCCTGCCAAACGCATTGGCATAATTAACACATACATCGCCATAACAGCAACGATCAGTGAAACACTAAACGATATAACCGATAAAAATAACCTACACCGATATAACAAGACAAAAGACGCAAGTAGAAAAAGTGAACCTTAGCCAATCAATCTGCGATGGAAAACTAACCGCAATGAACAACAAAGAAATCCTACCTGGCTTAGGGAAGTCGGGGATGACTCGAATTGCAGACGAGATTCTGGCAAGTCGAGGGTCTTGTCCATCTTCAGCCGCCATTTGTCGATCTTCCGCCGCGTCACCGCCCACTACTAAACTCAACTCAGACCAGCAAGTCAGACACACGAATGTAAGAGATTGATGACGGGAAGATTTTACAGAAAGAAGTTCACCAATCGTATCAAAAAGACTATTGTGACCAAATTGCCCAGATTAGTATGATAAATTTCAATGTGTTTTTACTAAAATGCACCTTCACCTACCAGGATCCAAAGGCGGGAAATTACCAGAGGAATGGAGACAAGGGAGGACACTGCGGTAATTTTGAAGCCGAAGCGTGCGTAACTGAGCGGGAGACCGAGCGGCGATCGAGACAGAGAACGGAGCAGTGAAAAGAGGAAGATATGATATATGTGAATGAAATAGAAACAGAGATTGTTGCATTCTTCCCTCTCTGACAAAAGAGGGAAATCAATTTCGGAAAGCGCTGGTTGGGATAAACCCTAATTTTGGATTTAATTGACCGAAAGTAAGGGTAATACGGTCAAATCATTCTCAAAATAATGACTGGAATCTCTAGCGGTCTGTCTGCCTTTTGAGTGCCAGTAACCTGCATGTTCCATGCTTTCAGGCGATCATTTTTTTTTTTTAATTAAAAAGATTAAATTTAATCTAATTTATTAGTTTCAATAATTACTTTTAGCTTAGTATTAATTTTTTAATGCAAACCCACTCAAATTTTTAGACGTGTCCAAACACAAAGCTCGTGAATTTAATGGTTGGACTGTGAGTATTCGTGATTAAACTATAATAAATTACTAGTATTAATTTAATCTAATTTAATGGTAATACCCATGAGTTTATTTATTGCAAGTATTCGTGATTAAACTATAATAAATAATTATCGCAAATTAACCCAGAACTCCACTTTTTTTTTTTCTTTTTGTATCTTTTAAATAAAATTGTTAAGTTTTTACCATTTTATATTCATACTATTAATACATGTAATTATTATCTAATATATGCTAATAAACTTTATGAAATCAAATTTGATATATATTCTTGATATAGAAAGTAAATATTAGTTCTCAAATATAATAATTATGATTACGATTAAATTATATTAATTAGAAATAATCAATCTCTTCTTTCGGTGATTCTCAAATCTTATCTTCTTCAATTAAAGTCTACTGTTACCATTGGACGATAATTTTGAAAATTCAATTAACACACATGTCTTTCATTTTTTGTTTTGAACTTGTGCACGTGCGAAAAGGGATCTCATCTGTCTATAAAATATAGAACTCGTAAGACTTTGATTTCTTCCAATATTATTCGATCAAATTAATTTAAGACTGAAATATACATAAATTTATTATGTAAGCAGTAATTTC